TTATGGAAATTTGAATTTTAAAATAATGGATTGATGGAGAATGTGTGGATGGAAAATAAGGAAAAAAATTTGTTTATGTGTAATATTATTTTAATGAAATATACGTGGTTAAAAAGAAGTAAGAGAAAAATGTATTTTAATAAAAATAAGAATCAAAGGGGCCTATATAACAAAAGGTAAAAACTGGGGAGGATTAAACAAAGTGTAGGGATTAACAAATGACTACCATGTAAAGAATGGAGGCAAACTGAAGTTGAGATCAAGAATGACCCACTGACACCCAACATCCAAACCGGTTTAGTTAAGCTGTCAGCTAACTGATCAGAGCCAGAGACATGAGACACACGAAGCTTGCCTGATTGAACCTTTTCGCGAACGAAGTGAAAGTCAAGTGCGATATGTTTCATTCGAGAATGAAACACAGGATTAGCACATAAATAGGTGGCTCCAACATTATCAGAGTAGATCACAGGAGTGGAAGGCAATGTGAAGCCAATTTCATGAAGTAGAGCTTGGAGCCAGGGGATTTCCGTAGTCGTGGCAGCAATGGACCGATACTCAGCTTCTATGGAAGAGCGAGCAATGGTGCTTTGCTTTTTGGAGCTCCAGGAGATAGGATTGGAGCCAAGAAACACAACATAAACACCAGTGGATGTTCGGTCTGAGATGTTGCAACCCCAGTCAGCATCAGAGAATGCATGAAGAGTTAATGGAGAGTTGCGTTGGAGTAAAAGACCATGATCAAGAGTCCCATGTAAATATCGTAGTAGACGTTTAAGGGCAGACCAATGGACCGAAGTTGGGGAGTGCATGAATTGAGAGAGTTTGTTGACAGGAAAAGCAATATCCGGACGTGTCAACGCCAAGTATTGTAGGGCACCAAGAGCAGAACGATAGTCAAAGGGATGGGTCATGGGTTCACCTTCATGTAGAGCAGGGACATGAGATGTTGGCATGGGACTGACAGCAGGTTTCGATGACAATAAACCTGTTCGGTCTAGTATGTCAAGGATATACTTGCACTGTGAAAGAAAAAGGCCATGTGTGCTAGAGATGACTTCCATGCCAAGAAAGTAAGAGAGATCTCCCATGTCCTTAATGGAAAATTTGTTAGCAAGTGTCTGAATACAGGAGGCAATAGCAGAGGAGGAGGTACCAGTGAGGATAATGTCATCGACGTAGACAAGAAGAAAAAGAACCGTAGACTGTCGGCGGAGGAAAAAGAGTGAGGCATCAGCTCTAGAATTGCGAAACCCAATAGACACAAGGAACTGCTTGAGTTCAGAGTACCAATCACGGGGAGCCTGTTTGAGTCCATAAAGAGACCGTTGGAGATGACACACATGATCAGGGAATTGATGGTTGATGAAGCCTGGAGGTTGTTGCATGTATACATTTTCAGATAAGGAACCATGTAAAAATGCATTATTGACGTCAAGTTGTTTGAGATGCCAGTCATGCATAGCTGAAAGGGAAAGAATCAGACGAATGGTAGAGGGTTTGATAACCGGACTGAAGTTGTCACAATAATCTAGCCCGGGGCGTTGAAGAAACCCTTTGGCGACAAGGCGCGCCTTGTATTTATCAAGTGACCCATCAGCTTTTCGCTTAATGCGAAAGATCCACTTGCAACCAATAACATTTTGAGAGTGGTCACAGGGCGCAAAAGTCCAGGTGCTATTTTTAATAAGAGCATTATACTCATCACACATGGCTGAACGCCAGTTCTGATCTTTCATGGCTTGAATGACAGTGGTTGGTTCGCGAGGGAGTTGGAAGGGTGTAGAGGTGGTATGATGAGCAGATTTGCTCCTGGTTTGCATTGGGTATAAGGAGTGGGGACGTGGGGAAGGAAGTGGCGGGGTCGTGGAGGAAGAAGGGAAAGAGGGTAACCGAGAGCTGCCGGGAACTGGAGAGCTAGGACAACAGATAGGAGCTGGACTGGGCGGGAGAGGAGAGTGGAGAAGTTTTGCAAGACTTTGAGTGGGACGCATGTGTTCAGGTGTGTTAGGGGAAGGCGTGAGATGAGAAGAGGAATGAGATGATGGTGGTGGGGAGGGGCTGGGGACGGGAGTGGTGTTAAGTGGGACGCTGGGAGATGAAGACGACGAAGTAGGAGATGAAGGTAGGGAAGTGGAAGGTGGGGCAGAATTAGTCGGACCAGTAGGATCGAAACCGGGTGTTGGTATAGGAGGAACGGTAGGGACGGACTCCAATCCCGCTGGGGCAGTGGCGGATGGCTGAGTACGCACACCATCAGTAAGACCATCAGAACCAGTGATCAAGGGGGAAGAGGTGAAAACTGGGAATCAGCTTCAGGGGTCGTAGGGAAAGTGGAGGATGTAGAGAAGGGGAAAACATTTTCAACAAATTTAACGTGACGACTTGTATACACACGTCCAGTAGGAATGTTAAGACAATAGTAGGCACTTTGGGAAAGACTATAGCCAAGGAAAACACACGGTTTGGAGCGGGACTCAAGCTTGTGAGTGTTATACGGGCGTAGCCAAGGGTAGCATAGGCACCCAAACACGCGGAGTTTGGAAAAATTCGGGAAAGAGTGATAAAGTTTTTCATATGAGGTGAGGAATTGAAGGTTGGTTTTAGGAAGGCGATTAATTAAATATGCAGCCGTGGTGAATGCATAGGGCTAAAGATGCGTGGGAGAGGAGGAGTGTTGAAGGAGGGCCAAACCAGTTTCAACAATATGGCGATGTCGCCGTTCAGCATAACCATTGTGTTCCGGGGTGTGAGGAGTGGTAAGATGAGTGATGCCATTTTCCGAAAGGTACGAAGTGAGAGCAATAAATTCACCACCATTGTCCGTAAATAAAGTGGTGATGGAGGCATTGAAAAAATTTTCGACAAGGCCACGAAAGCGAATAAAGGTGTCACGAACCTCCAATTTTTTCTTTAAGGGATATAGCCAAACATATTTAGTAAAGTGATCAATGAACACAACACAGTATTTGTACCCTTCGGTAGAAATAACCGGAGATGTCCATACATCAGAGAAAATAATTTGTAGTGCAGCAGTACTGGATAACGTAGAATTAGAAAACGGCAATTTGTGACTTTTATTGCAATCACAAGAATCACAATTAGACAACGAGTGTTTAAACGATGATAATGATAAAAAATTGCGAGACACTAAATGATGTAAAACTTTGGAGTTGGGATGTCCTAAGCGGAGATGCCAAGTATTAAGGTTGGTGGAGATGGAGGAAAAAGCAATCACTGGTGCAGACAGAGTGAAAGGGAGTGCGTACACGCCATCCTTAACTGGGCCGCGTAGGATTGGAGCATCGGTCTGCAAGTTTTTCACAATAAAGGAGGTGGGCAAGAATTCAATGCTAAAATTATTTTGTGACCAAAATTGAGAGACAGAGATCAAATTACGAGCTATGCGAGGAACACAAAGAATGTTAGACAGGGAAAAATCAGAGTTATGAGATTTAAAACGAGTGTGACCGGTGTGTGTGATTTGTAATCCATTACCGTCACCAATTTGAACATCATCCTGCCCAAAATAATTGGAGTGAAGGGAGAGGTTGCCAAGATCATTGGTTATATGGTGCGATGAGCCGGAGTGAAGAAGCTAGTCTTGAGTAGGTGAATCAGTGGAGTGAGCGGCCAGATTTGCTTGGTGTTGCCGTAGCTGATGTTAAGGAGTGGAGTTGGAGATGACTGGTGAATAACGAGAGGTAGTGCAGCGTTTGGCCGAATGATCTTGTTCCCCACAGAGTTGGCACTTGCCAAGGTATGGTCGAGGAGAGTAATCTAGGGTATTGTTGGTTCGAGGTCTGGGAGTTTTTGATGGAGGACGCTGCTGGGTTGTATAATGGGGCCGTGAGCCACCAGAAGACAAGTTGTATGACCGTGTGGCAGGTGGACTACGAGAGGCAATATTGGCCGTGATAGGTTGAAAATAAGAGGGAGAGCCAAATGAAGGAGGTTGAAGTCGGGTTTCCCTGGTAGCCAGTTTTTTCGTGCAGTTCATCAAATGTGATTGAAGTATCATGAGCACGAACAGCCTCTGCAAAACCATTATATTCGGGGCCAAGGCCACGAAGAATATGAAGAACTAGTTCATCTGGATCGGGAGGGGAGTTCATGAGCGTTAAGTTGTCAACAATGCTTTTAACTCCATGCATATATTCTATGACAGAAGCATCACCTTTTTGCAGATTGCCAAGAGCATTTTTTAGGTGCATAATGCGGCCACGTGAGGATCTAGCATAGGTGTTTTGTATGGTAATCCATGCTTCACGTGACGTTCTTGCGGCGGCAATAAACGAGACCAGATTTGGTGAGAGAGAGCTGACGATGGCATTGAGGAGTAGTTGATCCTGTCGGATCCAGCGTGCATGTTTGGTTGTGTTTTGTGGTGGTCGGGGGAAGGTACCGTCGACGAAACCCAATAGATCAAAGCCACTAAGAAGGCTGTGAAATTGAATATGCCAGGCAGGAAAATTTGTTGGGGGTTAGTTTAATGGGAAGTTGGGCTTGAGCGTTGATGATAACGGGAGGATAGGGTACTGTGGGAGAAGGTGGATTCGGTGGAGTGGTGTTGGCGGGCGTTTGCTCAGTGGTTTCAGTGTTGGATGATTCAATTGAGGCCATGATCGAAGCTTGTTAAGCGTAAAGCTCTGATACCATATAAAGTATTAACAACTGTTGGAAATTTTCATTAATTACAATGAAGAAGATGACAGCCCTTAAATACATATATGGACGGCAGTCCTAATATAATTGTTTCCTAATAATCATAGGCTTCCACAGCCTGTGGGATCTTTTAATCAAAGTAAATTACAACAATTATAGTACATTAGGAATTCTATATAAATACAGACCAATGATTATACATATACTAAATTAAGACACAATTAAACAAGGTAAAGATATTATTCTCCAATAATATTCAATCTTTGAAAAGTATCATGAGTTGACTGGTTCCTAGTAAGTTGTCAATCATCTTTCCTATATATAATGATATTTTCATGTGTCATATTTGCTTTAACAATGTCGTCGGCCCTCTTCAACTTCATATTCTTCATAATATTTCTTCTCCCCCTCGGCACTTCTTCTCAAAACGATGGCACTGTAAACGTGGGGACCTCACTTGCTGCAACAGAGAGGTCCAATCCATGGCTTTCAGCCTTTCACCTTCTGGAGATTTTGCATTTGGATTTCAGAAACTTCAAGACAATGATCAATTTCTACTTTCTATATGGTATGGTTAACTATCTCATTTAAAAGCTTAAGATTATTGCTTTTAAATCATGTATGTAGCACGCCCCCTCGACCCTCACATATAGATGGGGTTCATTTTTCTGCCTATCACATGAACAATTTTAATAAATAGTTCACAGTGAACTATGTTAACCATCTTGTCTAAGCTGTTTGAAAGCGGCCCAGTTAATGTATTAAATCGTCTTCAACAGGTACAATAAAATACCAGCAAAAACCATAGTATGGTATCCGAAGGATACAAGTCCAGTATCACGTGGATCGACTGTGGAGATTGATACACAAAATGGGCTGGTGCTTCGTGATCCTCAAGGGAGCCGGCTATGGCGTACAGAAAATATTGTTGATAGTGTTTCTGGTGGTTTTATGAATGATACTGGAAATTTTGTTATATCGCGGAGGGATTCAACCGGGATATGGGAAAGTTTTAAAAATCCAAGTGATACGATGCTGCCTACGCAGATAATTGAGATTAATGGTAAGCTTGTTTCACGAAAATCTGAAACGAATTTCTCTCGAGGAAGATTTTATCTAGACATGCTTAACAATGGGAATTTAGTGCTTAATACTCGAAGTGTGTCGAGGAATTTGGGTTTTGATGATGAGTATTACAACAGCCAAACTTCTGATCTTGCAAATGTATCGAATTCTGGTTATCAAGTGATCTTCAGTGAAAGGGGCTCAATTCAAGTTTTGAGGAGAAATGGCGAACGAAAAGCCTTAACTACTGAGCGGTCAATTCCAACCACTTCGGATTATTATCACAGGGCAACTCTTGATTTTGATGGAGTTTTCAGACAGTATTATCATCCCAAGAGTTTTAGTGGCAATCCTGGGTGGACTGCTGCTGAATATTGGCCCGAAAATATATGTGTCAGCATTACTGGAAATTATGGAAGTGGGGCTTGTGGGTATAACAGTATCTGCAGACTTCAGAATGGAACACCAATTTGCAGATGCCCTCAAGGTTATTCATTGGCTGATCCGAACGATGCTAACGGTCACTGCTACCCAAAGTTTATGCCAAACTGCGGTGAAGAGGATCAGAAGGGTTCTGCAGAAGATTTATACGAAATGTTGGAGGTTTCTGACACTGATTGGCCAACATCGGATTTTGAGGAAATAAGCCCTTGTTCAGAAGATTGCTGTAAAAATGAATGCCTGAATGATTGTTTCTGTGCCGCTTCAATTTATAAAGATGATCAATGCTGGAAGAAGAAGCTGCCACTGTCTAATGGGAGACTTGACACTAGTGTCAATGTAAATTCTTTTCTCAAGTTGAGGAAGGTTGATGTTCCTTTACAACGTCCTAATCTTCCAAGTCCAGAATCTCCAGATAAACGGAAAAAGGACCGGGAAACGTTGATACTCGTGGGATCAGTACTCTTGGGCCGCTCCGTGTTCATAAACTTCATGCTTGTAGGTGCAGCTTGTTTTGGTTTTATCCTTATTTACAACAATAAGATCACAAATTTCCGACGAGTTCACAATGCAGCAGGACTGAATTTGCAGTGTTTTACTTATAAAGAACTTGCACAAGCTACAAATGGGTTCAAGGAAGAACTGGGTAGAGGTTCTTTTGGAATTGTCTACAAAGGAGTAATGCCAATGGGTTCCATAACCACCATTGCAGTGAAGAAGCTGGATAGAGTGGCTCAAGATACTGAAAAAGAATTCAGAACAGAAGTGAATGTGATAGGTCAGACTCATCATAAGAATTTGGTCCGCCTGCTTGGATTTTGTGATGAGGGGCCTCAATTGTTGTTGGTTTATGAGTACATGAACAATGGAACTGTAGCAAGCTTTCTTTTTGGTGATTTGAAACCAAACTGGAATCAAAGAACTCAAATTGCAATGGGGATAGCCAAGGGACTAGCGTATCTACACGAAGAATGCAGCACCCAAATCATCCACTGTGACATCAAGCCTCAGAATATACTTCTTGATGAATATTACAATGCTCGGATTTCAGACTTCGGATTGGCAAAACTTCTGATGGTCAATCAGAGTCGTACCCTTACTAATATCAGAGGTACAAAAGGCTATGTTGCACCTGAATGGTTTAGAAACACGAAAGTCACCGCGAAGGTCGATGTTTATAGCTTTGGCATTTTACTACTGGAGATCATTACATGCAGAAGAAGCCTGGTAGATTTGGAATTTGGAGAAGGAGAAAATCCAATTCTTGCAGATTGGGTTTGGGACTGCTTTCAGGAAGGAAGGTTGGATAATTTGGTTGTAGATGATACAGAAGCCTTAAATGACAAGAAAAGACTAGAAAGGTTCGTGATGGTTGGCATTTGGTGCATTCAAGAAGATTCATCTCTGAGGCCAACCATGAGAAAGGCCTGCCAAATGCTTGAAGGAATTCTTGAAGTTAAAATCCCCCCTTGTCCATCTTCTTTCACCTCAACTGATTAAGTTATTAAGTAATTAGCTTGTTCGTTACACTTCTTTTTTTCTTTATTAAAATTCATGGTCTGTAATTTTCATCTTGAAGTCATTAGTTTTTTATTTGTTTATCATTAAAATTTATGGTCAAAATTGAATTTTTTTTTTCCCCTCTCAAACCCAAGTTTGTGTTTCTCAATATAAGCTAGAGGAAACCTACAACGATTGAAGAATTTTACAATAGCTGATGTTACTGCTCTTCTTCTTACACATAAGAGAATAAAAAGGTTACTTTATCCTAATGGTTCAGAGTACATTGTAGAACCCATGATAACTGATTATTTACTTAATAATTTTAATTAAAACTAGCTTGAATCAAGAAATAAGACGCAATCAATTTCTAGTTTGGTTTTAATTATATCTAATTATATATGAAAATAAACAATAAAAAATTAAGCAAATCCTGGAGTTTCATCAAAAAATGGAAGACACTAGAATTTGGAATCTATCATTGCTAACCTACTCTAGTCCTTAATTACCCTATACCAGTTCCTGTTATATATTGGCAATTTATATTCATTATAAGCTACTTATCTTTATCGATTAAATATCTATATCTATCCCAGTATATATACACCCTGCCCGCCCACCCAGCATAACGTTAGTGGACCCAATACATAATGTGCGACAATAATAGATACCAACTAAAAGTCGAACCCACCATCAAGGCTACTACGACTGCAATCTATTATGAATTATTGTTAATAAAATTTCTGCATTCTATCCTGTAAATATGACTAACTAACCTATAATTCACTATGCACAAATTCCAACAATAATACATCACAATAGAGATAGTTGAACTCTAAAACTTTTACTACAAAAATAACAAGAAATGTACATATGGATGCAAAATATATAGCAATCCCCATAGCTATCTACAAATGATGCAAAGTGACATCCAAAAATAAACATAGGTCCCAAAATACTGACTACATGCTTTATGAAAAGTCACATTTGCAAACACTTTCGTGTGGCTCTAACTTCAAAATCAAATACTCAACTACAAAATATGCCCAAAATCTCAATTGCTACCTGATAAGAAAATCGTTGAAAAACATATGAGTTGATAGTCGTTGCTTTTTTTATATCACAAATGTAGTTATAGTAACAAGTAATGTGGTGGACCTTTGAGCCCATCATCGTTCCCACAAAGATTATACTTTAATACTTGATCTAATTTTTCAAACTCCTATTTAATGAAAATAAACAAAGAATTATGATTGTTGTGATTTTTTATTTAACTACTTGAATATAGCTATTCGCACAAAAAGATCGTTTGACAATATGAATATGGAATATATATTAGGGCATAAAAATTTCATGTATTGATCACCTTTAAATCTTAATTCAAAATTCATATATCTATTGTAGTGTTAGATCGAATTCTTCTTAGGTATAGATATCTCTACACGTTTAGATTACCAAATTTTAATATGTGGTCTAAATCTAAAACTTATATCTTGATTTGTAATAAATTCACAAAATCATTGAATTACTGATCAAGTAATTCAAAATATTACATATATAATTAAATCAATACATATATAATTGAAGAATTTGAATCTTGAATAAAAAAAAAAAGAGGGAATACTAGAAAAACAATTAACAATATTGAAGTACATCATCGAATTTTGAATTGATATGTGGAGAAGTGGATGAATCTTGTACCAAGTTCCTATTGCCTCAATCTGGATTCCAAACCCTAATTCTTGATTTCTTGTTTTTTCTCCTTTGATTTTATTCTCTCAATCTCAAGTTGTGTTCTTCGTGTCTCAATATGTTGAACTCCTCAAAAGTGCCTCCATTTATGTATTCATGCTTCCCTTAATGTTTTCCCGAATTTGGAGTGTTAATGGGCTTCAAACGGGCCAAAAATTCTTTCCCTAGACGCGTCAATAGCGCCGCGGTGCAACGACATTCGGCGCTACCTCTAGAGAAAAATTCAACAATGCACCTCCTTCAGTATTTTTATCGTAATGTTTTCTTCCGATATTTGATTGAGACAATTCAAATTGAGTTAAAAATTAACTCAAGGACTACAATTTTGCTAGAGGTAACTCTTTTCCAATTCAAACTTTTACTAGGCCGAAAATGGCTCTCAATCTCCAGCTAAAAATTTGGAACATCCTTGTGCGGTTGAAATTGATTTGTAAAAATATTTTGGTCATATTTGACTCGTTTTGACTTCTAATTGCATCCAATTGACCTTAAAATTCTCGAATATTCATCGTAAAGTCCAACACAACTTTTGAATCTTTACACTTTATTCCCCAAACTATAGATCTTGCCCTTGTCACAAATTTTTGTTTCTTTCTTTCAATTTCACTTCCATTCATTGAATTTCACCTAATAAATGAAATATATAATAAATTAGGCTGTAATTGTTCAAAAAATTATTAAATATCTATATTTTTAGATTCAAATAAGTGCACAATATACTTATCAAACACTCCCAAACTTAAACATATGTTCGTCCTCAAACAAAACCATAAACTAACTTGACAAACACACAAATATACAAAAGGTTTTGGTTAGATAACTTATCGTTTTTGTCTCAAGATTGAAATCATTGTATTAAATCTATAAATAGGTCTAAGGTTGCATTACCAAAATCATATCTACTTTTTCAATGTAAAACTAATGTGTGTGTGTGTGTGTGTGAAGAATTAAGTAAAACACTATAAATTCACAAGTTCTTTCAATTCCTAACCTTCGTCAGTCAAATTTTTACTTCCATCATTCGTAAAATTCAGACATCCCAAATTATTCTTTTTTTTACTCTTTTGCAGTGTGTGATCTAAAGCTAAATCTTTATACTAATTTCTCACCCTCTCTAGTTTATATGGATCTCACTAATTGCAAGTCAATATTTCAACAAATAAGAATTTTCCAAATTTTGATTGCTTCGACCTCGAAGACTCAATTAAACTAATAATCCCTTATCAAAAATCTAATTTTCCCAAATAAGTGTTTGAGACTTAATCAAAACATGTGGTAAGTAAATATATAATCGTTTTTTCATATCTTAATGTGCAAACTTCTCTCTATTAAGCTTTCTAAATGACATATGTAATAGGCTTTAGGTCGATGACTTCCAAATCAAATGATCATAAGATACCAAGTTTTTAGATATCTTTGCAGATTTAATCGCTCGAGTCATAAAGATTATAAAGAGACGTTTCAAAACAAGATAACTTTTTTCTCTTTTCTTTCCTTTTTTTTTTTTCCTTTTTTTTCTCCCCATGATTAGTGTAATGTCCCTCATTAAATGCTCATTCTAAAAGATCAACCCCTAACTTAAGATTTTCATCTAATTTTCATCATATTAGCCTTAGACAATCCATACAAGAATTTATGTGCATGGAATGTCTATTCATATCCATATATCCCTACAGCAATAAAATCACCCCCAAACTATTTTAAATTTGGTCGAAGAATGTATGTTGTAGTAATTTTGGGTTTAGCATCTATGAATCTACTATTTAAACTTATCAAGCATATAAATCAACACATTGATTTATAATGCTGAACTTAATTCATGTACGCAAATAGTATCATGCTTTACATGGATAAGAATTAATTAATCTAATAATGTAACATATCCACAATTCATAAACTGACAATTAATTTCAAATATATATGTCGGCAATGCTACCTAACCCACACAAGTACACAATAAACAATAAAATCTTTTTGAAAATTTTTAACAATTTATCAATTTTTTCTAATATAATAAAGAAGTAGAAATACGCAATCACACAAAAATAATAAAATTAAAATCAATGTTTTTCTCACAACTAAACTTAAAGTGGACATTGTCCTCAATGTCTTAAAATCTATTATAGCACATATAGGGGCAAAGAAGAAAGGAAGATGGCACTATCTAGATTTTCTGTATGATATTTAAGGTAGCTTGTTGAATTAGTTCATTCCATTCTTTGCTAAGCTACCTCATACTTGATATCCATGTACCTTTGAAAGATAAAAGACAAATATAAATAAAAAAAGATAAAAGATAAAAAAGAAAGACGACACTCTCCACATTTTATGTCTCATATTTGAGGTAACTTGTTGGATCAATTCATTCAATTCTTTGTTAAGCTATCTCCTACTTAATATCTATGTACCTTTGAAAGATAAAAGACATATTGTAGCAGCCGAGAAAAATAAAATGGAATTATGCTAATATTTTGCGATGATCTAGCACCCCGAACCTAACCCATTTTAGAAACGACCTATGGAAGCTCAACCCATGTAAGATTACGAAAGCCCAAGTCATAAGTTAATAAAAAGCCCAGCAATTTAAGAAATTAAATTTAAGTAAAATTGATTACAAAGATTTAATAAATAACTAAGTTGCCACAATGGTCATCTACATGGTATTTTATATAGGCAACCCAGGTTCGAATCACCATGTAGATGTTTTTTTATAAAACTTTCATATGAATTATTTTTATGGCTTAGAGACTCTTCAAATTATTAGTTAAAGGCTAAATTTAATAAATTTAATGATAATACAACTCCCCCACTTAATTTTTCATTAAAAAGAAAGGTTATAGAAGTGGAATGTCACTTTTTCACGATACTCCTCTTCAAATCCAAATTTCATCTCATTTTCTCTATAAAAAAAAGATATTTCATATCAAGTTAAGCTTAAGGAATAACAAGGGTGAGAAGAAGGAAGGCTTTCTATACATTTTGTTCTTTTATCCAAGAAAATTCAAGGTAGGTAGAGGTGCAAGTGTTCATTCGTTTTCTAATCTGATTTTTCGATAAATGTTTAAATGAAATAGTACCTTCGGGTACGGTGCTTCGGCACTACAACAGTTTGAATGATTATTCTTTGGCTCTACGTGTTATGATAATGCTATAGTAATTGGATTTTGCCAAAAATCCATCTACGTACGACGGTATAAATCTATAGTTCGAAATTTCTAATTTGATAACGAATTGCACCGATGATAGCTATTGAGTTTCAAACTCATGGGTTAATTCCCTTCCTATAGGTTGAATGGATTTTCCTTAGGGCATAGATGATG